AGCTCACCTTTCCAGAAACTTATCAAACGGGATGCAGAGGTAACCCATCTTCTCAGTCACTGAGGAGGCAGAGGAAAATCGAAGTTCTGGGGCCCGGCTGGGTTGTGCCAGGCTGAGGCTATTTTGACCAGTTCCCAAATTAGACATCATTTTGGCTTTGATTTAATTCAACATGCAACATTGTCTGCCAGGGACCCCACATTTTTCCACATCATTTGGCCCTGACTTCTCTAAATGTTGTTTTCTCACGTCAGATTATCTTAGAAGGTTCATTCCCTCAATTTATATATAGAGATTCGTTGTCCTCTTGATGTTGGGGCAAAGAGACAAGACACTTAGAAAACTCTTTAATCTTGTATTTGTAATTTGTTACTTTTTCTGAACAGTTAAAAAAAAAAAAAAAACCAGAACACACTATTTTACCATGATCCTAGGTTGTGAACATATTGGTATCTTGACTACACATCACAATAACATAACCACAAAAGTCAAAGCAGTCAGTACTAGAGTCTAGAGAACAGAGGGCTGAGCCAACTAAAAGCTCTCAGGGAAGCTCACACTCGTTGCCAGGCCTGCCCCATAGCTGGAGTCCAGCGAACATCCCTAACAACAGTCTGGGTGGGCTTGGGCGATCACTGATTTGGGAAAGTGTTCGTTCCCTTGGTACCCAAAGGTCTCACCCTCCTTTGTTGGTCTTTTCCCTCAGTGTCCAAGAAGAGAAAGGCATAGAAGGGAAGGGACACTTTATAATGCCATTTTCCACACTGATCCTTAAATACACACATAACCAACCACGAGCTAAGAGCTGGGTGGGCTGGAGAACACGTTTTAGAGGTCATCTGCCTCCAGGAAATTTTAGATCACAGGTACTCAACTTCCAACAGAAGAGGTTTCCAGATATCAATGCCTTAAGTTCCACCGGAAATCAGGCACCCATAATTGTGCTCTTTTGGTTTCTCTCCTCAGTTCCAAGTATTATGAAGTCACAAATGAACTATAGATAAAAATAGCAGAAGCAAAACTCAGCTTTATTACCCTAAGAGATGGCTATCTTTTTGGCACTGATTATGTTGAGCCAATCGTAAAGTAAGGGGCTCTGGTCTTTCAGTGATCAGCTGTATGAAACCCAGGGAGATGAACTCAGCCTGCAGGCTTTGGGTGTGCTGGTTACAAGTAAGAGTTATTCTAGAAGGGAGAAGAGGAAGGCAAGGAGAAGCAAGGGCACCTTTTCATGTTCTCCAGCTCCTGGAAAAATCTGTTCAGCTCATCCAAACAGGGAAGATCAGAAATGTGAATTAAAGTTGTATGGTAAACCTGATCAGCAGTGTGTGTGATGGTCACAGGTGGTGGGTATCTAAGCATCACTTTTTATACTAGGAAGTACCTTTGGATTCCTCCAGAATTAAGCCTGCAGCCTAGGCTCTCATGCCTGCACTATTCTGGGTTGGACTGCTCACACGTCAGCCAGGAAGGTATTATCATCTAAAATAAATGGAAGATGCCAAGAAGGTCAACAGTACCAAGGTATCTAATCTACTTCTAGGAAAGAAAATAACCACCTTAATTATTTCCAATATCCCCCCTGCCCCACCCCAAGCCCTTGGTTTCCAGATACAATCAAATGCTAAGTAAGGAGTAGACCAACCACAGCTGTTCCGACCAATGGTACCAGGAGATGGCAGAGGAGAAGAGTGCATATTTTCTTCTCTTCAGCTTATGACTTTACAAAAGAAAAATAAAAAGGCTTCTTCTTACTCAAGCAGAAAACAGAATGATTTAGGGGTCCCAGGGTTTTTTTTTTTGTTGTTTTTTTTTTTTCCAGTTCAGAAACAAGTTATGAGGGCCAGACTTTATTACTTGTCAAAAGAGTTCCAGAGAGTCCGGTCTCTGAAGTTTCTGGTGAAGAGTCGCCAGAAAAAATTTGCCAAGGGACAAGTGTAAAAGGCCTCCATTCATAATTCACGTCCACTTTCAAACTGCCCATAAGAAAGGAAAAGGATGTTCTCAGCAGTGAAAATACACACACGTGCAGCAAGGCATGCTGGTTTTGTCCGAGCAGCCCCGGTGTGACTGGAGAGCTCCCGCGTGCCCAGAGAGCTCCCGGGTGCAGGCGCATGCACACGCTCGCTGTGTGTCTGCCTTTGAAGGGGCTTCCTCCCATCTTTAAGAAACATCTCTTTCAGGCCCACACAGGCATTTTAGTGAGAAGAGACTCATCTACAATGGAGACATGCCATTTCAGAGCCAAGAGACTCCTTCAGCTCCTTTTCTACCATTCCTTTCAATATATTGAGACTTTCTTTGTTTCTCTTTTCTTTTTAAAAAGGTCAAACTTTACATTTATTCTAGCCCAGTTGGGGATTAGTGATAATCAATTCCCACTGAAATCATGCAGAGATGGTAAGTGGGGTTTACCTTCTCTGGAAATGAACTTCTACTTACCTGATTATTTCTTCTACAATGAACTGGTAAATGACCCCCAGAGCTGAGAAATGTGACTGACTCAGTTTTTCAGACCACTTAACTTCATTCCCATTTCCATCAGCAGCAAAGGACAACTTGGAGAACATGCTCGATGGAGCTAATGGCTCCAGACTGTGGGGTCCACCCTTGATCTCATTTATGATGTACTGGACAGGCTTCAAAACAATCTTAGAAATAATCTACCTTCAACTGAACCTAGATGGGAGAGCAAAACCCCGGGCACCAATGAATATTCAACAGCTCCCACTTTTAAATAGCAGCATATAACAGAAGGGCTAGTAAAGTTATGGCTATTGGACAACATTTTCAAACAGCTTGAAATCCATGCCTCTTTAATGCCTGACCTGTATGTTACTCAGGGCGGACAGCCCTCTGCCTCACCTGTAGCAAAGTCCTTAACCAATCAAAAAGCCAAAAATAGTCAATCAACACAATAGACAAGGAACTCTGAGGACAGCTGAATAGAAAACATTTCTCTGTAGCATTTGAGTGGTTGGGAAGGGAATTATACTCAGGAAGTATTTCCCAGGCAATGACATATCACACTGCAAAATATTTTCTGAATGTAATCTGGAACCAAATTCTTAAAAGCACTCCTAAAGCTGGAAAGGAAAAACGCATATGCACAACTTGCCTCTCAATACATAGTAACAACATTCACTCAAATCCGAAGGGAAAGGTGAAGATGGCTTTCTCTCCCTCTCCCCCTTGCTGAACTAAAAGGTGGTCTGGCTTTGAGGTCATCTGCAACTGGCTTCCATTCTGATGTTTTTACAGCAGCTGATTAAAAGCAGGCTTTTCTTTTACTCAACTGCTTTGCTTAGGAACAGAAACAGCAGGCCTGACTGACCGCTCAGCTTCCGAGGGAAGCTAGAGACTGCAGTGTGGCTCTGGACCTGTGATGGGTGTGCCCAAGCCACACAAGAGGGCTGGTGCAGCATCGTGTCTCTGCCGGGAAACAAGCTGGCACAGCCCATGCTGGTAGTATTCCCTGCGTTCCCGAGTTGGGGAGGCACATGCGTGCACCCTGCCCGACGCTCATACAGCTGCCTTTTAAGTGGCCAGGGTGGCCTGGCCCTTGCTGAAGTCCACTTGTTTATGTTGCTTACCAACTTCCAGAGAAATTTTATTGGCTGGGGAGAGTGGAGAGTTAAATAAGGCCAGAGGAGAAAGAAAAGGAACGAGAAGGCAGTTTCTGCCCCATTAGTAAACCCTGTGTGCCAAACTTCACCCTGATCCTCTTTCTGGCAGCTTTGCCCTTTTGTAAATATCGGGTTTGGGAAAAGCAGGAGGAAGGTTCTGCAGTGCAAGGTTGAGGTGATTAGCTTGCTTTCTGAGAGATGATATTTACTGTTCTAAATGAGAGAGAAATCCACTTTTATCTCTGACCACCTCTTCAGCTACTTTGATTGTGGTCTTGGCAAAGACACAGGAGCTGGGTGCCCACAGACCCTGATGAGCAAGTCAGAGATGTGAACTATTATGCAGAATGTACCCAGGACTGGCTCTGGCCATTTCAAATCTTTCTTGAGGCTGAGCCTTACCAGTGATTTAAGATGAAGTACAATGCTTTTTATTACACATCTAATTGTTAATGAGAGGAAATGCAATCAGCAACTCCTTTCCACACTCTACATGGAATCGAGGAGACTGCTGAGTCCAGAAAAGATGTGGCCATTGATGGAGCCCAGGCAATTTCTGCCCCTGCCCCCACCTTTTTTGGAGGAGGGGGTGTTGTTAGGAGAGAGAAGAGTTGCAGATATGATGAGAGTACCTTCTAAGAACCCACTGCTGCCACACAGGGTCACTTGCAGCAAAAGCCTGGCTTTGAAATTTTGACTGGACAGCATTTAACTCCTCCGAGTTTGGCCATTTTCTCGCTGATTTGCCTCATGTTAACTGAGAACCTCTCTTCATATGCTTTCTTCGCAGGTGCAGCAGGGAAACAGGTTGAAGGAGAGTGGGAGAAAGGGGAGGAGGGACAGAAACAGAAAGAGATGAAAGGCAAGAGGCCCAGATCTTCCAGTTGTGTATTGTTTTTCTTGCTTTTTCGCCCCAAAGGCCATACGACAGCTGTCTTCTCCTAAGCACAGTGGGGCTTGGCTGGTCCTGCCAGGTGCTGGGCATTCCTGGAGTTCACAGGGAGAAACTGGGTGCTGTCTGGCTTGAAGTTGTACCCCCTGTCCCCTAGAAGTTGGGTCTCACAGAAGGCTATATAGGGAAACTAGTTCTTCTGCTTAACGGCAAAGCAAGAGAGATTCTGGCAAAACACTAAATATATTTATAAGTCATCTTTGTCTGGAACCAAATGAGGAAAAACAGGTGCAGAGAGGAGAGGAGGGGAGGTGAGGTGAGGTTTAAAAGTTCCAATCATTCACAAAAGATAAAAGACATCTTCTGATAGCAGCATGGAAGCAGTCAGCTGTGCTGAGCAGACCATCCTGGGCTGACTGCAGACCAACTGTGTCCCAACAGGAGTCTCAGAGCCCCACTCCTCGGCTAGTCCGGGGAAGAGGGTAGTAGTTTGATTGTTACTGTTGTTGCTCATCCTGGTATTGGCAGATATGTTAAATACCGCAACTTTAATGAGTCCTGTGTGAAAACAGAGCACAGAGTCATTAGTCCCTTTCCCTACATTTCTCACTTGCTCTAAGAGGAGAAGAATTTTAGCTGTCAATTGGGAGAAAGGCTCAGAGGTCCTTCCTAACACCTGCTCCCTGCCCACGCCAAGCAGGAGCTTCTGTCAAGGGCTGCGGTGCCTGCCTGGGGACACAGTGGGGCTCACGGACATGCTCAGGGCAGCAGCGCCCGTGCAGAGTGACTCTGATATCTTGAGATTAGGAGTCACTCTGATGGGTTGCCAAGATCTCACCTGCTTTCTGTAATGGTGGAGCAGGTGAGGCTAGCTCTGAGGTGCTGGCCCTCAGTGGCCAGAAGCACAGTTGTGCCACCAGCAGAAGTAGGGCAGCTGGATGAAGCTGTCTGGCCACTTGGCAGAGGGCCCTGGCAGAGTGGACGAGGGGAAAATCTGAGTGTTGGAAGTGTGCACCAGACACACTCCTCAGAACGTCAAGGACGGATGTATAGGTGGTGGCTGTAATGTGGCCTGGAGATAAAGACAGAGGTTAGGACTAGAGATACAAGTTTGAGGGTCACCTACGTTAAGACAAGAGCTGAAGCCTCAGGAAGACAAAAAGGAAGCTTTGATAAGGAAAAAAAGTCTGAGATACACTCTGAGGGAATGTTTTTGTTTCAGGGGTGAAGAGGAGAAAGGAGACACAAACAGAGAGCCAGGAAAAATATTAAATATGGCGAAATGCCATAATAATCTCATCTGGCAAAGGAGGGGATAGGTACATGATGATTACAGTATTACTAACAATGACCACTTCTTACTGAGGGCTTGTTCTGTGCTAGGCTCTAAGAATTCTGACATAAGAATGTGACATTTCAATGCAATCCTCACAACAGCTCTGTGAGGTAGGGACTGCAACCCATCTTACTAAGACGGAATACGAGGCTATGGAAGTTGCTTGCCCGGGGACACATATCTAGGATTCTCACCTGAGCCTGCCTATGTGACCCGGCTGAGGGACAGGAAGCAGCGTGTTCTCTATGAGAACAGTGAGCGCTGAAGTGAGTCCAGCAGGGCATGGACCACCCCCTTTAGAACCACTGCAGAAAGACGTGCAGAAAAGTGTACTAAATCTGTAACCTCTGCCACAGAACTAAGGCAAGTCTGGGAAATAAGAAACCATAACGACAGCAACATTCCCCACTAGTGCAGTTTCCCCAGCCCGGTGATGACCTACTTAACGGATCTGAACTATTTGACACGGGGTGTGATCTGAATATATCATCACAGAGATAAAGATGAAATGTAGGATGTTCTCCTGCCTCAGAGGGAGGTTGGAGACTTAAGTGGGAGAATACAAGGAGTTGTCACCAACCCCAGAGCGACTTTCAAGGTCTTTTTTGGAGGGGGGTGGTTGGGGATAAGGATAAAAAAGCCATGTTTTATAATCCAATGACCCTGACAAGGCAGAGCTGTGAGAAGTCATCTAAGAGATGTCACCAAAAATTTTTCTACCTACACATTATTTACTTGGTTTAAAGGCTCTCTGTTACAGGAACTGGTTTGATCTGCCAACTACAAAGTCATGGGCCTTAAAGCTTACTCTTAGCTTTGAAACGGATTCAACTCTCATTTTATTTTCTTAACAATCCTATTAGATAACTGGGGCAGAAAGGATTCATTCTACTACATAAGGATCATCTAAATCTAGATCAAGAATCATCTAGAACTGAGGCTAGCTACCTTGATGAAAGACAGTGTCCAAGGTGCAGCCCCAGCCCTGTCTCAAGCCGGTATTTCACCTGCTTTACAGGAATTGGAGATAAAGGGTACGAGAAGGCTCCATGAGCTAGCAATAGACAATATTCCATCTCCTACCCACAGTGCTATGTACACAATTTTTTTTCATACCTGGGCAAATATGAGGTCACTGTATGATTATTTATCTGGAGATATAGGTGTATGTTCGAGAAGGGGAGCGGGGGGGTTCAGCTTGGGCAGCTGGATCGTTTAGGAAGTCCCAGATGAGGATTGTGTCATCATGTGAACTACTGACAATCTGGAATTCATCAAACTGGAGTCGGAAAACTCTTCCAGAATGCTCCTAAAGCAGCAGAAACAAAAACTTTTGAACTACTCAAAATCAAAAGGACACAGATTCAGCAACATGTCAAAGAAGTCTATGGAAAGACTATGTATGTGAATGACGATAATCTCTAATATTTAGCTGTTTCAAGAACACAGAGAAAAAGCAATCTGGATTACGGGCAAAATGGAAAATGTCAAAACACTGGGCAGTTGACTTTGTACAATCAAAGTTATGTTCACTAGAGCTGAGCCATGACAAAGAGTATGCTGGTTTCTTACTGCTAACTCTCCTTGGTTTAGGCTGAATGAGAACATTCCTCAGTACTTCCCTGGCCTTACCTTCTTTCTGTATCTGTTGGATTCCTTTAAAATCAGAGGCCAAGACTGATGACCAGTAATACGAGGTGTGCTGCTAAATGTTTATCAACGAATTCTCCCCAATTTGTAAATGCATGCATACATTTTTATGGCGTAAAAACTGCTACAGTGGCTAATCTCAAACTATCCATGTAAGACCAACCAACTTGCAAAACTCATGAAAATTTGAGAACTTTCATAAGCAAGGTTCAAGCCTGCTCTAGTGCACGCTGGCATTAACTACCACCTCGTTCAAGATGTAGAGTATTTCCAGCATCCTGAAAATTGCTCTCATGCTCCTTACTTCTCAAGTTTACCTTCACCCCAATGCTTTCAGCATCAATTCATTTTTTCTGTTCCTGAATTTCATATGAATACACTCATATAGCATGTATTATTTTGTGCCTGGTTTCTCTTACTCAACAGTGCAAGATACCTCTTTGTTACTGCGTGTAATGTTCTTTTGTAAAATTACTGGTTGCCATTCCATTAAATGAAAACACATTTAATCTTTTCTCCTGTGGTGGACATATGGGTTGACTGTAGTTTTGGCTATTTAGTGAATCTGCTATGAACATTTATCTCCATGTTTTTTGAAGGATATATGCTCTCATTTCACCTAGTAGTGCTGTGGGGCCACAGATGGAGCAGGTATATGTTTAGTTTAAGTACGAACAGGGAAACAGTTTTATATTTTTTCAGTTTTATAAAAGTTGTGCCAATTGATACTCTCACCAGCAATGTATCAGAGTTTCAGTTGCTCCACATCTTTACCAACCAACTGATACTATCAATCTTTTTAATTTTAAACATTTTGGTATGTTACTGGAGTTTCAATTTGCATTTTTCTGTATGAAGTTGAGGAAGTACCTCCTCTGTTCTAGCTTGTTGAAGAGTTTTTATCATAAATGGGCACTGGATTTTGCCAAATGCCTTTTCTGCATGTACTGATATAACAATGTGATTTTTCTTCTTAGCTTTTTGATAAGATGGATTATACAGTTGAATTTTTGAGTATTAAACCAGTTCTGTATACCTGGAATAAATACCACTTGGGTCATGGTGTATGCACATATATACACTAAACATCACTGGATTCACTTTGCTAATATTTTGATGAGGATTTCTTTAAAGAGTTACTTCATTTTCCTGGCATATTGCTACCTTTTAATTAAGTATAGGTATTTTCTTTACTGTGAAATCACTAAATATAAGGACCGTGACAAGACTACACTTAGATTTTAAGCAAAGTGTTTAAAATATTACCAAAAAATCCTGCCTAATAAACTTTTATTAGTTATACAATTGTGTTTGCCTATTACCTTATTTTTAAAAATATTTTAATTTGCATCATGGAAAAACCACATAAAATTTACCATTTTATCTGTTAATGTTGTATAGTTCAGTATTGTTAAGTACATTCCCACTGCTATACAATCAATCTCTAGAACTTTTTCATCTTGCAAAACTGAAACTCTATACCCATTTAACAACAACTCCCTATTTCTCTCGCCCCCAACCCCTGGCAACCACCATTCTACTTTCTGCATTTGATCACTGTAGACTTTACTTACTTCTTCTAAGTAGAATATTAAGGTATTTGTCTTTTGTGACTCATCTGTTTCACTTAAAATAATGTCCTCAAGTATTATCCATGTTGGAGTATGTAACAGTATTTCCCTTCTTAAGGCTGAATAATATTCTATTGTACATGTATTCCAATTCATTCATCTGCTGATGACACTTGGGTTGCTTCCACCTCTTGGCTACTGTGAATAATACTGATATGAATATGGGAGTGGAAATATTACTTTGAGATCCTGCTTTCAATTCTTTGGGATATACACTCGGAATTGAGGGTGCTGGATCATAGCATTAACTCTACCTTTAATCTTTTGAGAAACCCCATACTGCTTTCCATAGAGTTGTAGCATTTTACAATCTTTACAAGAAGTAAATGAGCTCAGAGATGAGCACCTGTGTTTATGAGACATACTGATCTGTACTTTTAACACCTTTGCTTGCTTTTGGTATGAGGGTAATGCTGGCCTCATAGAATGAGTCAGGAAGTATTCACTCTGCTTCTATCTTCTACAAAAGATGTGAAGAATTGGTATAATTTCTTCCTTAAACACTTGGTAGAATTCACCAGTGAACCCATCTGGGCCTGGTGCTGTTTTGTAAAGTTATTAATTATTGATTTAATTTCTTTAATACGTATAGTCCAATTCGGATTGTCTATTTCTTCCTATGTGAATTATAGAAGATTGTATCTTTCAAGGAATTGATCCATTGCATCTACATTATCAAATTTGGGGGCACAGAGTTGTTCATAGTATTCCTTGATTACTATTCTTTTTAATGTTCATGGGATCCATAGAGACGTAAAATTGGGTTTAACATTTGGGTGTACATAAAAGAGGTTAGTTAACAAAATCCATTCCTAATAAAGATTCTCAACAATCAAGGAATACAAAGAAACTTCATAATCCCCTGATAATGGGTATCTACAAAAAAATCTACAGCTAACATGTATCTATATACATGTATATGAAAATGGTGAAAGACCAAGCGTCTTTTCCCCAAGATAAGGACAACCACTCTTACCAATTCTCTTGAACATTGTACTGAAGGTCTTAGTCAGTACAACGAAACAAGGGAAATGAAAGGTACACATATTGCAAAAGAAGTAATGAGTGTATTTCTATATGCTTGTAATGCACAGATCAGAAATTAAAAATTTTAAATATCCCCAAATTAAAATATCATTTACAACAGCACTAAAAAGATGAAATACTTAGTGATAAATATGACAAAAGATGTCTCAGACCTTTACACTGAAGGCTATAAAACACTGAGAAATTTAAAGACCTAAACAATGTTCTTAACAAAACATTGTTGAGAAATTTAAAGACCTAAACAAAAACGCTCCATTTGTTTTTAATGTCTTTGTTCATGGACCAGAAGACAGTGTTGTTAAGTTATTTCTCTCCAAACTGATCTAGATCCATCAAAATCCCAGTGAAAATCTCATCTTTTATTTTATTATTATTATTTTTTGGGGTTGTTAAAATTGGCAGATTCTAAAATTCACATGAAAATTCAAAGGACCCAAAAAACTCTGAAAAGGAATGAAGTTGAAGGATGTACACTTCAAGAATTAATAAAAAGCTGCAGTAAACCAAGAAAGTATGATACTGGCATCATGACAGACAAAAAGATCAATGGACCTGAATAGGTCCATAAGTAGACCCACATAATATAGTCAATTGATTTTTGACAAAGCTACAGAAGGCAATTCAGACGAAAAAAGATAGTCTTTTGAATAAACAGTGCTGGAATATTGGATATCCATATAACTTTGATCCATACCTGTACCATCTATAAAAATGGACTCAAAATGAGTCACAGACCAAAATGTAAAGCCTAAAACTATAAAAATTCTAGAAGAAAACACAGGGGAAGATCTTCACAACTCTGGATTAAGTAAAGATTTTTTTTTAGATATAACTGCAAATGACACAATCCATAACAGAAAAAGCTAATACACTGGACTTAACAAAAATCAAGAATTTCCAAAAGGTACTCTTAAAAGAATGAAAAACAAAACATGGACTGGGAGAATATATTTGTGAATCACCAATCTCAGAAAGGACTTATATTATCCTGAATATATGAAAGAAATCTTAAAACTCAGTAAGAAATCCAACCAATTAAAAAAATTAGCAGGGGCGCCTGGGTGGCTCAGTGGGTTAAGCCTCTGCCTTCAGCTCAGGTCATGATCCAAGGGTCCTGGGATTGAGCCCCTCATCGGACTCTCTGCTCAGAGGGGAGTCTGCTTCCTCCTCTCTCTCTGCCTGCCTCTCTGCCTACTTGCGATCTCTGTCAAATGAATGAATAAAATCTTTAAAAAAAAATTAGCAAAAGATTCAAACAGATACTTCACCAAAGTGGATACACAGATGCAAATAAATGCATGAGAAGATGCTGAACATTATTAACATTAGGTATATGCAAATTAAAATCACAATGAGGTCTCAGGACACACTATTAGAATGACTCAAAAACACTGTACTAAGTATCGGGGGACGTGGAGTAACTGGAACTCTCATGCACTGTCACATGATAAAACCGTTTTGGAAAACAGTTCGGCAGTTTTTAAAAATACAAAACATACACTTAACATACGACTTAACTATTCTGTTCTTATCAATTACCCCAGAGAAATGAAAGCGTATGTTCATTTCACTGTACACAAATATTTATAAAAACTTTATTTATGATAGCCCCAAACTGGAAACAACCCAAATTTCCATCAACCGGCAAAAGAATAAACAAATTATAGTATAACCATACAGTACAGTACCTACTCAGCAATTTTTAAAAAGCAATGAACTATTGATATAAATCAACAACATGGGTGAATCTCAAAATAATTAAGCTTAGCGAAAAGAGACAGACAAAAAAGAGTAAATACTGTACTGTATGAGTCTGTTTATAAAACCTAGAAAATGCCATCTAATCAATATTGACAGAAAGCAGATCAGTGGTTACCTGGGGATTGGAGTAGCAGAAAGTGGGGTGGGATTGGAAGGAGAGATTATAGAGGGGGCATGAAGATATGTTCATTATCTTGGTTGAAGTGGATGGTTTAACTGATATGTACACCTATCAGAATTTATTGAGTTGTACACTTAAAATATGTCCTCTATATTTTATGTCGATTTTATCTCAATAAGTCGGTTTTTAAAACTTACACAGACAACTCAATAAATGAATGAGGACAAGATATGAACAGACACTGCATAAAAGAAAAGCAAATAAAAAGATGTTCTACACCATTAATTATCACAGAAATGCAAATTAAAACTACAACCACTACACACCCACTCAAATGGCTATGATTCTTAAAAAGCTGACAATACCAAGTGCTATCAAGGATGTGGAAAAAAGGAAAAATGGGACTCTCATACATTCCAGCAGTGGAAATACAAAATGGTTTGCATTTGTGAACTCCCAAAATGCCACTTTGGGAAACAGCCTGTAGTTTCTTTCAAATTTAAACACACACTTATTATAGGATCCAGAAACTGCACTCCTAGGTATTTACCTTAGAGGAAGGAAAATAGTATGTATACTCAAAGATCTATAAGGTAATGTTTTCAGCATCACCCCAAACTGGAAGCGTTCCCAATGTCCTTCAGCTGGTGAGCAAATAAACAAACTGGCTCATCCACACCGTGGACTACTACTCAGCAGTACAAAAGAACAGAGCACAAACACAGGCAGCAACATGAACGCATCTCGTGTTTAGGTTAAACCCATACATGAAAGCTACACACTGTACGACTGACTTTACAGGACATACGTGAGACAGCAGAAGCACTGGAAGAGATCAGATGAACAGTTGCTGGGGTGGGGGAAGAGGGGATTAATATGAAGGGGCATCATTTTTGGGGTGATAGAAATGTTCTAGATCTCGGTTGAGGTGTTTTACACACTGCAAAATTCAGAAAAAATACACTGAAAAAGGGTAAATTCTGCCGTGTATAAATTATACCTCACTTAGACTAACTGTAAATGAATGAAAATACACATTTCAAAAAACATGTGTGAAACATGCAAATAAAGCAGGTCTGGTGCTGCAAGAATGAGCTTTAAATCCAACAAGGAAGACAAAGAAATGCCTGCCTCTCTCCCTCTCTCTCGATTCTCCAGAGCAGAGACCACCAAATGTTCAGAGTTAGGATTCAGAATACTGGGCTTCAAATGCTAGCTCTCATCTTTTTCCTGCGTTAAGCTCCCTGGTGCCCCACCTAATCTTCTTTTTCAAATGGCAGCAGCTTTTAACCTTAGGCCATTCTCTCATCCGGGCGTTTGGTGAACACCATGATAAAGAATTTAGTGCTTTCAAAGGTGACTTTCCTCCTTTTGAGTCACTTCTTCCTTCAAATGTCAAGATGTTCATGGCAAGGGGGTATATGAGGAATAAAAGCAGTGGGATTCACGTTGCTGGAGGCAGCATGCCTCGAACAGGCTGCAGAGCTAGGGGGCTGACCGGGGGCTCCCACAGGCTCCCACGGCACTTTTTGCCCGCACAGGTGTGCAGGTCCTCAGCTTCTGGACAGGTTCCAATTTGAGTAATTATGCTCTCTTTCCCTAAGTACCCCCTACCGTTTCTGGTGGATACAGAATTCTTACTCACTTCCTGTACTAAACTGTGGTGCGGAGTTGCTGTGCAGCTGTTAAGCAGCTGCCACGCTCTGCTCCACACATAGCCTCCAAAGCACTTTTGGATGAAAGGCGCTATATAAACATATTTTATTGTCATGTACTGGTTGCCTTTCCACTTAGTAGTAGGTTTTGTGAGCTTCTAAGTATCAAATCCAGATCTGTATTCCATAGCATATCAATGTTTAATTTCTTCTCCTTCCTGTTTCCCAACCCCCTCTAAACAATGAGACTCTTACCACAAGGGTCCGTAGACAGAGTGTCCCTGCCGGAGCACGGGGGTCCAGAGCAGCTACAAGATCCCACACTTTAATTTTTCTAAAGATCAAAAAGGGGACAATATCTTAATTAAAAGCAAAATTAAGGAAGAATAGCAAAAAGTCATGGCAATAAATATGCATGGTGAATGTGATTTATATGATAAATACAGTTCACAGGAATATATAAAAACTTTTTTGTTTTGGAGACTTGGTTCTTGCATTCATTCTTGGATAGAGGCTATTGATCTTAACGGGAAAATGTATGGGTTTAACCTAAACACGAGAAATAGGTTAGCTTTAACCAAGCCGAAGACAGTGGGTAAAGTTACACCACACTTTGTGGCTGGGAAGAGATCTTATACATTAGATGTCTTAATGATATAAGAGGTTACTTAGACCTAGAAACCTGTAATTCTGAGGCATCTTCTTTCTGGTCAATTCTAAGAATGGCGCACGTAACATGTACCAGGACAAGTGGAGCCCACTGAAGAACTATGGAGTTTATACAAGCAAATTCTCATATTTTGATTTAAGTAAGAAAAGTTTAGCCCTTCTGAAAATCAAACATACAGTCATGTCTCCTCAAGGTAAGTAACAGACAAAATCCAATAAAGATGGCAACAGATCAAAACCAGGGCAATGAGAAAATATGACATAGCTGGATATGTCCTCATACCCTGAACAATTTCCCACGGGTAGAACAGTGATGGCCGACTTAAAGCAGAGGGAATGGTCTATTCCTGCTGTGTGAGTTGTCTTCACTATAGCCAGCTCCTAAACTAATATTTTAAGGTAGTTTCTGGTTTTTAAAAATCTGTCATTTTGTGAACTACAGCCTTCTACCCCCCACATCAGGCACTCTGACAAGAAGAAATGATAAAGAGGTTTTCAGAAGTGAATACACTTTTGTATGAGTTTACTATGTGTTTAGCAGTGCTGGACATGGGATCCGTTCACAACATGAACGGATTCTAAAACCACTGGAAATTAGACCAAAGAAAATAAAGATTACTAAACTTGTCACTGAAATGCTAGGAGAAGTGAAGACAAGAGAGCTGCACTTTTAGGAATTATTCAAAGAGATCCAAATTCAAGAGCCTATCACACTATGCCCCAAAGATACTGCCTTCAATATTTCAGTTTTATTAAGTCATTATTTTATACACATATGCTGGTATACTGGGTTTCCCCAGTTCTTTGTTTTATAGGGTAAAACAGACAAATATATAACCAAATAACTAAAATATTAATGAAAATCATGAGCAAACAAGTGCAAATAAATGACTGGGAAAAACATTTTAGAAAAGTAAACAAAGGAGAGGAGAACACATAGATTAGACACAAGAAATATTGTAGCAGATCCTTTCTGTAAGATCCAAATGTTTCAGAGTCAAGTTAATACTATATTTAACATTCTCAGGGAGAAGGGATCAAGATGTGCTTTTTTTTAAAACCCTGTTAGCAAACTCACCCATCATAGGCCCCACTGACTATCCTCTTGTTATCGAATCGAATACATCGCACCAATTCCTCATGGCCTTCTAATACTCGTAAACACGCACCACATTCTATGTCCCATAATCTGGAAGAGAAAATTAAATCAAGTGAATTTTCACGTATTCTTTTCTAAGCTTGGCATGTCGTAATAATATACTTCTTATGTCTTAAAAAAATCCCCCCAAATAAAATCAATCAACATTCATACAAAAATGTATTGCTTTCAATGTAATTTATTTCCTTTCTGCTTTATAACTCAGGCAGAAAAAATGTATGATTTAAGTTCAAATGAAGTATATATTTTCAAAGCACAATGCTTTATACAATCCTGTAACCAGGGTCTCCAAGGCATAAAAAGGATGAATTCAATGTACCCAGTTCCCTGTGAAAGAAATGACCAAGCCAAGAAAAGTAATGCTTCCTGAAATCACCAATAAGAACGAGCTATAGAGTGCCACTGATATCCTGTCTTCACAAAGCATGTCCACCTCTGTTACTAAGGACACTCTGTTTTCACCCACTGTCCAGGACAGTCTTTCTCTATAATGGAAACAAAAAGCAAGTTCTCAAAAACATTTATATACTAACTTAAAAAGCTGGCAGTGCCTGGCTGGCTGTCAGAAGAGCGTGAGACTCTTGATCTCAGGGTTGTGCGTTAGTGAGCCCCATGTTAGGTATAAAGATTACTTAAATAAAATCTTAAAATTGCATGCTTTCAGACTGAACCAAATGAAATGACAATTTCTTTAGATAAAATACAGTTTTATTTTTTAAATGGCCTTTTCACCCTAGTACTTTCTGAAGGAAGAGAGAGGATTGATAAATCTTCCAAATTCTATTTGTATCTCTGTCATTCACCTTTGTGAAGAGAAAACACCAAAAAGTATCTCAATCTGTGGATTCTTCATAATTTCAAAGACTGGCAACTCCCTGGACAATTATGTAATGTGAAGAAAACAAAAGTGCACAATATGTAGCAGGGAAACAAATCTTTTTCTTTTTTCTTCTTCTTCTTCTTCTTTTTTTTTTAAGAACACTGGTGGAGAGAAAAGGCCGTTGGCTATTTATTAGCACTTTTCAACTGTACACAGGAGGAATTTAAAGAGGAGGGCCTTCAGCCTCCAACTACTTATCATTCTTGTCCACTTCTTCATTCAAGCAGTGCCTTTAAAACAGGTCTATCTGGTAATAAAACTATTACAGGAAGAAAACACATCAACAAAAGGCTTTGCTGTGCTTTCTGCTTGGGGCAAACTTTTCTTTTTTGGCCAACTTTTGACTCATGAGAAGCTACAAAAAGGAAAAACATCTGGGGTGCCTGGCTGGTTCAGCTGTAGACAGGAATGACTCCTGATCTTAGGGTTTTAACTTGGAGCCCCATGTTGGGGGTAGAGATTACTTAAAAATACAAAACTTAAAAAAAGAAAAGAAAAGAAAAGAAAAACATTTTATTAGAAACATAACACACTCGAAGATAACACACTCAGACTTCTGTGTGCTAACAATGAAAGGCAGGGTAACAGTGATCCCTTCTGGGTAAGAGCACCTGCTGCTCACCTAATAGTGTTGTCAGATGAGCCACTCACGACCAGTCTGTCTCGGTACTGCAAACAGGCAATGCCGCGTTTGTGTCCATTTAAGGTCCTCACAAATTCACAAGTACTTGTGTTCCATACCTGAAACAGAAATAGCATTTGGCAGTTGATTTGGTGCTTTTACTAGTAAGATCTATGGTAATTGGAGTCTTGGGAAAGCAGAAAATAGCACTGAGCCAATAGGGGGAAGACAACTTCTCAAACCACACCAAATCAAAAACAGAGACGGGAAAAAATGGACAAGTTTAATTCACAACAACAAAGGGCTAATTTATAGTTGGCTGCTATCACATGAGAATTCTTCCAATTGATTTACTCTTATGGGGCTAATCTCGTTTGCAGCCAAATTTTCTTTCTTTCCTTCTTTCTCTTTCTTTCTTTCTTTCTTTCTTTCTTATTTTAAGATTTTACTTATTTGACAGAGATCACAAGCAGGCAGAGAGGCAGGCAGAGAGAGAGAGGAGGAAGCAGGCTCCCTGCTGATCAGAGAACCCGATGCGGGGCTCGATCCCAGGACCCTGAGAACATGACCTGAGCCAAAGGCAGAGGCTCAACCCACTGAGCCACCCAGGCGCCCTGCAGCCAAATTTTCTTGAAGCTAAATTTAACCCTGCCCTTCTCATACTCACCATTATTTACAGGAATAAGATACGTAAGATTTTCATACAGCTTGTCTAACTTGTTGCCTTTTTACACATAGACTAGTGTCTGAATATTAAATTACTCTACACTGATGTTTAAATATGAAATTTTGTTTGTTCAGATTTTCACATGAACTCCCTTACTCTAAGTTGGGGAATTACTGAAAAATGCCTCATTACCTTTATAGTCCTATCTCCAGATGCAGAAACGATGTACTTGTCATCAAAATCTACAACATTGACAGCAGCTCGGTGTCCGACTAGCACCCTCCGGAGGGTGATGTCAGTTGGGGAGGCCATATCCCATACAGCAATGGAACGGTCTTTGGAGCACGTCACCATCATGCCATTATTGAAACGCAAGTGCAGAACTGCTTCACAATGGTGAATCAACGTGTTTAGCATTTCACCTGTATTTACATCCCATACCCTGAAACAAACAACATTAAAAAGGTTATCTGAGGTTTCGATGGTGCTCCTGGCTATAATCCTATTTGACCACCACATTCCCCATCCATCCCGCCCCATTTTCCTAATTAGCAGCTTTGAGGCTGAGCTGAGGTGAAGAGTTCTGATGGACCATGGGGGAAGTCATAGACAGAAGGCTGGACTAGGAGAGCAGGAAAAGGAAGAGACAGGATGCTGTCAGTGTGAAACCCTTAAGACAAACTACTTGAAATCTAGGTGAGTTATGGGGAATAGGAAAGAAGATGTAACCACGATCACCTACTAACTGGGCCCAGACTTCAAAATAATTATAAAACTTCTGACATTCAATCTGGTACCTTTAATGAGATACATTTTGAAGTAGGAATCTGACCCATAACAGTAGCATTAGTGTCCCATGGGTAGCCTTCAGGAAACAGAACTGACATGGGCCAAGAAGCTTCTGTAACAGACTGACTTAGTACTGTGGATTTGAGCCAAATTACCCTGGATCTTCGATTTCACCATATGCAGGCCAGGCACAAGATGAACTACACTCTGAGTTTAAGGCCCCATTTCTGTGCCTTGAATGGGGCAGAGATCAAAACTAGCCATCCCATTATAAAGGTGGACTTACAGCAGCAGAGTGTGGGAGGTTTGGACAGCCTAAGAATTTTGTGTGATGATATATTTAACTTTGATTACTCTATTTTATTTACTTTGATTTTCATAACACATTTTATTTCCTTTTCCAATTTAACCCCATCTTTTAGAAAATCATTTTGTCCCTTATCCTATAAATGATGTTAGCCTCTACAATGATTAGCTTCCTTGAGGCACTCCACAGCATCAATAAATGTTAAATGTCGATAACTGTAAGAACTGAGTTTGCTATGCCTTTAAGTCAAAAGACAAGAAAAAGGAACGGCCTTTTCTCTTCACAGAGGATAATTTCGAGTGGTAAACATTTAACTTTAGAGAGTCTAACAATGCAGTTAACTGCCTTTTTTCCTTTTTTTTTTTTTTAAGTTACTTTTGATGCATTATGTTTGCTAAATCCTTTAGCTTAAGGCAAAACTCCTAACAGAGGTTTCCAGCAGTGTTGCTGGTACCCAAAACTCAAGCTACACTGGACTCCAGCAGCATAATGGCTGTGTCATCAAATCACTAATGCCTCTGGAAATTGAAGGCCCCTCCCTGAGTAAAGCTTGCAATTAAAAACTGCAGGGACAGCAGGGGAGGGGCTGGCAAAGAGAGAGCATTGCTCACCTGTACACATTTTAAAGGAGATAATGCATGCCTATACCACAGTTATAACCACCTGAAAAGAGGCTTTATTCCATTCACATCATTCCTCTGTGTGCTGGTTTTTGTAAAGAATGCAAAGTTTACCAAGTTTCTGTAATGGATGATTCCCCCCAAATTAAAACAGAATATGTAGTTTTCTTCAGTGTTCAAAAATGTAAACTTGCCTCAATCATTTCTAAATCAAGGTTTCTAGGTGGACACAATGATGTGGAGAGTTGATGGCTTATTCCTCTTTAGTTAGGAAGTTTCAGAACTGTGTGTTCATGCAGCTATATACAAAATTACTATCTATGACGAATAACAGAGCAGATCTGATTTTCCAGAGTTTGAAAGATCATTTGAAATTTTCTACCTGACTGTGGAATCCGATGATCCAGTTATGATCACCCTCTCATCATACTGGAGACACAGGACAGAACCCGTGTGGCCTGTGAGAATTCGCTTGCATTCCAACGTGCTTTTATCCCAGATCTAGGATGGCAAACAAGATCCTTTTGATCAATGTGATAATGGGGTGCTGCTGAGACTTGTTGGCTCTATTATGTGTTTGATTCCCCGAAAGAATCAAAGCCCAGAGCAACGTAGAATGCATTCTTTTCTATAGGTATAGCTAAGCACTATATATATGTGTGGCTTCAATACTAATGCAGACTTTATCCTTTTCATTAAGGAACAGGGGTAGGCTATAATTATGTGAGGCCCAAAGGAGCAACAGCACATTCAATGCACTTTAAGAAGAGAATTTAACCGTAGGACTATCTGTACATGCTTCTGGCGGGAAGCAGGTAACTGTCCTTTAAGGAAATGATTCAGGCTTTGGGACTGGAAACAACCTAAAACTCTCATTTACTTTCTGGAAATAATGCTCAGGTATGACGTTCAGACTGCCTTATTAACGCGGACAGCCTTGTTCATTCACCCACCTTCCCATAACTAAACAAACCTCACCTTGATTGTGTTGTCTCGAAGGCCACTGACTATCTTTTGATCATCATACTGTAAACAGTAAACCCCTTTGCTTGTTTCACTTCGGCAGTGGATTCTCTGTAAACTATGTCTTCCACATCTCCAGTTAGATTCTATTGTCTGAGGGAAGGAATGGTAAGGAGGAAGTAATTAGGAAAGGACCAGGACTAAGTTCTTATCTGACTTTCATGGCAACCAATAACAAATGTTCAATGCTTCACTATATTAAATACATAGACCTTAAGGCAAACTAAAAATGTTTTTAAAAAGCCACTGTTTAAAATTGCATAACATTTTTCCATTTGCAAAGTTATTAAAGATTTATTTTCTAGAGCTCTCCCACATATAACTCATTCAATTAAATGATAAACTGGTGGAAAAAGGGTAACAGAGGTCAAGCTATAAACTACATAAGGTTATGTGCTCAGTGCTCCTCATACATATGTAGTGGCCATTTCTACTACCGAACTTCCACGGAGGCTCAATTCAGAAGATATTTGAATATCAGATGTGTAAGTGCAACTTTAACAGTCTCACTGTTATTGCATGAAGATACCATCTCTGCTTTCTCATTTAGCTACCAGTAAACAATCTTTATTTTTTTTATTTTTTTATTTTTTTAAAGATTTTATTTATTTGTTTGACAGACAGATCACAAGTAGGAAGTGAGGCAGGCAGAGAGAGAGCAGGGGAGGCAGGCTCCCTGCTGAACAGAGAACCTGATGCGGGGCTCGATCCCAGGACCCTGGGATCATGACCAGAGCCGAAGGCAGAGGCTTTAACCCACTGAGCCACCCAGGCGCCCCAGTAAACAATCTTTAAAAGCTTTAAAATTTTTTGCCTGGCAATTTGTTATATTTTACCTGCCCTATTTACCAAAAATAACTTTATTTGGCAAATACTCAAATATACATAGATTCTTACCTCAATGTCTTGTATAATTTTAGGATAAAGTGCTCTGTAAAAAGAGTTAGGAGGAGCATTCCCATCAGGAGGTTTGTTTTTGAATAAATACTGTCCCCTAAAAAACAAATATTTCCCAATAAAAAATCACAATATTATACATTTACAAGGAACTTCATAGTTCTTCAAAGTGTTTTCACAGTTACCATTCCATATGATATCTATGACTAGCCTGGAAAGGCACAAAGCTAAGCCTGATTTCAGGAGTCCCACGCCAAGGAATAACTTTCTAGATTCTAAGGAACTAGGTTAATACTATCAACACGATGATTTGCAGTATAGCCATCAGAGTATAATGTTGTAAGGTCAACAGAGTATGTATAATCAGAACTTATCAACTCGTCTTTCAGACCTCTGTAACAGATGCACTGGTCTTATCTTTTGAAAGTTTTATTGGTGATGAAAACTATTATCTCTGAACTGGGCACATGCCCCTAGTTTTTTTGTTTGTTTGTTTTTTTCCCCACTGAGTAAGTCTGTGCCTGTGTCAGTGGAGCCTAGCATCATGGGCAGTGAGAATGTCTCTGTTATGGAGATCATTTTTTCTAGTCTGAACTTACATAGGGTAAGGTGGAGTGGCAGCTCAGGCGCCCGGGCTGTTCACGATCAGCACAGCTATGCTTTAAAAGCAGCAATTCAGTTCATTTCGACAGAAAACAAAGGGAACACAGGAGTGTCCAGCAGCAGGTATAGAAGAAGACAAAAATGCCTAAGAGCACTGTGCTCTCAAGTCTAAGGCTTGACATTCTTTCACAGGTGTGTTCCTGGCTATGCACATACATACATGCATTTTACTGCCTTTGCTTGATCCCAGCGAGCAACATTTGTTAGCATCTCCTTCCTTATGACAGCACATCTCTGGAATACTCAGATCCCAAGCTAGATCTTTGCTACAAAAAAAATCAGTAAATGGCAATCACTTCCTGCTGGGTAAAAAATTTAATTCCTCATCCTGAAGTTAAGAACTCACCAAACACGGTGTGGAAGCTAGTAAACCCCTCTATGGGTGTACTAACTGCTGTTCTCACTGGCACCGTGCCTTGCAAAGTGGAGATAGGCAGAAATGCCTCTGAGTGTAATCCTGGCACCAGAGAAATCATGTTTTCTCTGGGCCAGTCATCCACTCCTCCCTCTATAGCTCTATTACAATATAATTAATTGTTCAGTGTCTCCAGGAGCGCTTCTCCCCTGCCCTCTTCCTATTATACACCTTGAAAATTAGTTGAGAAAATTTCCTATCAGGAAGGTAACTGGCTTTCAGTTCTGTGAAATCTGCAATGGAGAAGGAAGCTAAAATAACAGTTTTTAAAAGGGAGCTAATAGGAGCAAGAAACATGATATGCCAACATAAAGGGCAAACAAGACACATTATGAGGTAATTCTAGGTTACAAGTACACTTCCCTGAACAATCTTATCCTGTGTAAACACACTGCAAGCAAACAACAGATTTTGCATGAAGAAATTTTAAGTCTGGTTAATAAACGTAACTTGGTAATTTCAATTCCAACATCCTTTCTGAGGTAAGAATCACTACATTTGTATTTCAGGTAAATAAATCAAATGTCATGGAGATTAGGTAGCTTGTTCAAGGTCACATAGCCAGCGAGTAGACCTGGAATTTGAATCTAAGTCTAACTTCAGAGCCTACACTCTTACCTACTTTATTGTCTCCCAGGGCCCACCATCCCTCATAGATTCCTGTCCCCCCTTTTAATCTTTGGTAATTGAATACAGGCACCCCAGGATTTTCTTCATACATAATGAAACTTATCTCTACATCCCAAGAAAAGAGAAACCATATAAGAAACCATATCTCTGATCTCATGCCTGGCTAAAGTATCTAAATTTCTTTCAAGTTAAAGGTGCTACAAAAAAAGTGTTAAAAATCAGTTTTTCAGTCTAGATCTGTGTTGTAAGTCAAAACCTTTTATGATGGAAGCTTCTGACAAGAGGGACCACTTCTATGTGAAATGCCTAGTACCTCTGAGAATGTGAGTACATGATAAATGCTAAATATTAAATTTAGAATGTTATCGTAAAATGTGATCTGCTGATTAAGAAAATGGACTTCCCCAAGTGATCTTTTATTACACTTTTAAGAGTTACCATTACTGAGCAGAAAGAGCGCATTCAATATTATTCAAGATAGAAAACGAAAAGAGTTCATGTCATGAACTGTCAAATTCATGTAGATACAAAATACAACAGTGGAGTAGAATTTAAACCTGAAGTTTCACTACAGAACTATATTTACTTTTTTTTTTTTTTTTTTGGTTGGAGGAAATGGAAGAAACTTTCAAAGCCAGCATCTGGGGAAAGGTATGACAGAAAGATTTTATTGACACAGTAGGCTTAGTAAAACAATCTGAAAGAAGATGAGAAAGTGATCATAGATTACATTTTTTAAAAAGTTGGGGAGGACACTAACACAAGAAGATAAGGCAATGTTTAAAAATAGAAGCAGCCAGAGAAAAGTCAAGGGACTATTAGTGGAGGTCTTCATGGGGTGGACAAATACTTGTAATTTCATGGGGCTTTATCAAGCTAAGATGACAAATGTGGCTTAAGACAAAGGAATATGGTCTCAACTCTGAAGGATACTCAAAAGAACAGGAATGGGTTCCTGTGATTGAACAGATAGTGGAAAGAGTAATAAAATTAATACTGGATCCTAGATTATTCCTTAGCCATCCCTTCACATACCCCTTTAAAAGGCCAAAAGGCCATCTTTTCAATGATCTTGTTTGTTTTCTTTCTTTATAACTAACGGTAACAGATCGTGCTATTTACTGCCATGCCAAGCAGAGCCTACACTTATTTTTGGCATTTTCACATGCATCTGCCCAAATCTGCCCATCTACTTCTTCTTCTTGCCCTCAAAAAAAGTATCTGTGAACTCCCAATGTCTGATAAAGGTTTACTATTATTTACAGTCCAAATGTGAGCAAAGTGTATTTTAACAGGGAAGAAAACCTTTATCACTATGGGAGTGAATCCCTGTGATAAGAGATTTCAGGCCAGGAGTTCCAATTTGGAGGACCTTCTTCTCTTTTTCTTTTTTTTGTTCTTTTCTTTTCTCTTCTTTTATTTTCCCATGAGGGGTAGTGGAATATTCCTAGCTACCCTAAAATTCTCCCATGTCAGTAACTGCTCTATATCTAAGGCTGGTCCTGACATGCTTAACAAAATGATGGACTTGGAATCCCATATAACTATATACTTTCTTGCTTTTTTAAACTATAAAGAGTTTATTTCCAAAGTATAAAGTAAGGTATGAAAGGCTTTGATTTTTCTATACAGTGAAAATAAAAACATATCTGAGAAGAATAACATTATGGTTTCATTTATTCATTTTTATATGGCCAAACAACTGCCTGATGTTTGCTTCCTTTAACTGAATTTGAAAGAAATTTTAAGTCTTCTTAATAGTCAGAATGACAAAAATTTCTTGAAGCACTTAGTATAATACTTAGAGGCCATTATGTTTATAATATATTAATGAATTTCAAAGCTGCAAAAAAAAAAAAAAGAAGCCAACTATATTTTAATGAAAATTGCTAAGAAAAGCTGATCCTCTTTTCTTAACTGTTTTGTATCTTTTTATGGTCCAAGATAAATAATTGATAAAATTAATTGCTCAGGAGATCCCTGAGCACACATATGCCTGCTGGTGCATATCTATCAGCTAAAATACTTACTATGTCACCTTTATTTTACTTATGAAATATTCACACCTAACTTTCTTATAGTGACATTCTAGAGATATCCTCTGAGAGGAAATTACATACAGAAAGTATCTTCTGTAAGTTCTAATGAAATGGTACCTGTATGTTAAAAGAACAACAAAATTGGTGAAGTCTCTTAGGCTGCTAACTATATAATGCCTTAAGGAATTTGGGATTAAGCAGTACAATCTTGAGAAAATATGGATCTTATGAAGAAAAAGTGATACACTCTAGATCCCACACTTCACTCTTTCTGATGACTAGAGTTCTTATTCTAGTTGCGCGTAAAAATAATTTTGATTACAAAGGTGAGAAAATACCACAGGCATGGATTAAAGACAAGAAATCTTCCGAAGGAGAAAATACTTATTTGTTCAGGATTATTTCAGGCATCTGATGGCTTCTGTGTGATTTAAAGTCATCTGTCTTACAAACTGCCTCTCAGCCCTTTGTCAGGACACTAGTTTCTGCCCAGAGAACAGAATGCTCTCAACAGAAGTCAGTTTTTAATAATTTTTTGTAAAGCTGTATTAACACATTATGATGTCATTTATCAGTGATTGGCCAGAAGAAAAATGCCTAAGTACATGTACAACTACTTTACATTTTGTACTATAAACCAGCTAAATCACATATTAATGATAAGCAGTCTCACTAGTTCCCAGTGTTATTCCAAAGATTCTGAATGGCCAGGTCCTGAAGTTCATCTGTAATAGTAAGAAAGTTAAAAGGCTTACCACCCTCTTCGTTCTGCCAGGCCTCGCCACAGAGAATCTGTCCTGACCATCCTCTCGATGAGCTTCTTCCATAACATGCCATCAGATGTCACTCGGTACCATTCCTTACATACAAGTTCAGCAGCACATAGTGATCTGGCATCCAGGTATGACAGAATGTTCTCAGCAATGTGATCCAAACCCCGAGCTGTTGGGGGAGGGGAGTGCGGGCAAAGAAGAAGAATATAGGTGGTGAATGATTTTTTACAAAAAGTCCTTAAAAACAGAATAGCATTCATTCTGCTCCGAAGGCACATCATTGTCCCTAGTGTGGTCCAGTTTCTTTTTCAAACAGAAACTTGGGTAAAATGAGTGTCAATAATTTTTCCATAAGGTTACAGAAATGAACAATATTTTCCATCTTCCTTTAGATAAGGAAGTTAAAGCTAACAACCAGCAAACCCCCCAAGACATTAAAAATAAAAAGGATTCCAGAAAAACAATTCACATCTATCTATATGGATTTCAGCACTAGGGGATGTTCTATGGATGGCATCTCAAAGTCTGTGATTCAGACCCCCCCCCCCCAAATCTCTATATTAGGTCCATTTCTCATTCTCTTTCTATTACTGCTGCAGTTCCAAAGCTGTTCAGTAAAAGAAATATCCTTTAAATGTACTGGGGGAGAGGCACTAAGTCAGAATGTGCTGGGTTATAGAATTTGGGGCATGTAGAAAGAAGAGAAGAAGGAAATACAGACTGGTAATAGGAACATCCCGAGAGGAAAGACAGAGAGGTTTGTTTAAGTTCAAGTATGACTTTAATTTCAGATGTTTAAAAAAACTACATTTGAGAGTAGTTGCTGCTATAAAACCTAAATGACAGTTCACCAAACAAAAACAAAAAAATAAAACAAAAACAAAAAACACCCCAGACCAATAAACAACTTGGTTGGCATTTCAGAGACCATTTTGTAGGATGTATAGAGGAAAAGTATATATATATATATATATAGAACAGTGGAAGTAGATCTTGGGCTGACTAAACTGGATGGGCTTCCCAATTAAAATGCTCTACCACCCAAATCTGTAACTGAGGCCTCAGAGGAATAGATCCTATAAAATAGGATGATCATACTAATAAAGCTTTTGGCTGCTCTTCTAATTCACAAGTGAGACAAACACATTCGAAGTTACTTCTCTTTCAGGTTAAATATCAGAGGTTTGCTAAAGACTTAAATAGTGCAGAAGGATTCCTTCATACTCTGACTCCCTGAGGCACAAACTTAACAAACAGGAAAGAGAATACCACATTTCATTTTGTGCCTTTCCCTTGAAGCACACAAAGACACACTTGGACGCCATTAGCAACAATCCAAATGTGCTTAAACATTATTCTAATTATAAAATTGTATGGATATCAGTCACATTTTTCAGCAGATTTGGAAAAGAAAGCATTAAATGGATTTTGTTTGACTGGCATCACATGTTCATATTTAAGTATAAGCAGATGGAGGCATCCATCACCTAATTCTTATTAAAGGAAAATGACTATAAGCCAATTAAAGATATAATAATAAGTTCTTCATGCAAAAAACAGTGATGGTACAGTTCCTGCATGTTTAAAATGAAACTTTCTATGCCATCAGAAGTTTCCAAAATCCATTCCTGCGTTTTTAACGGCTATCATCAAATTGCTCCTGATCTTTCGCTATGTCCCTACAGTAAGTCTTTGGAAGTAATTTCACCTAACACTCCAAACAAACCCATTACGTTAATGGATTATAGGCATTTTTTGAAGTAGTTTGGTTTACTAAATGTAGCCAGATGGCATAGGTTTTTAAGTTAAAATGGCCATGAAACATTAGACTGATGATTTAATATCTTAGAAAATGGTCAGCAGATACACACCAGGGATCAGGATTAGGCAAAGGATACACAGGTCTAATCAACTCCTGTTCAGCTCTTAGTGGTATATGCTTGAGATAGTGGCATGTCTTGGTAATTGGGGAGAGCACAGTAATGAGGTATACACAGATTGTTCACACAATGAAAACTGTTTGCCTATGGCTAAAACAAAATCCAATGAGTGAAGAGGGGGCAGAAGTCTATTCTATTTAACAAAAAATATAGGTACAAATTTAGCTTTAAAATGGCTATTTCTAAGCTATAAATAGGTATTTCTTTTGTTTTAAAGGGGGATTTAAATTCCAATTTTGGAAAAACAAATTTACAAAAAGATAATTGGCAAAGATTAAGCAAAGAAGTAATACACAGTTTTACAGAGGGTTGGTATATTTTTCATAGAGGACAGTTTGGCACAAGTATTAAAAACCTTGAAAATGTTCATAATTCTTTAATGTAAGAAACCCACTTCTCTTGTTTTTTCCTAGGATGCCCAAAAGATTAGTAAGAATGTCCACCACAGCAAAGTTTATAACAGGAAAAACATTTTAAACTACTTATATGTTCCAAAAAGGTGTTAAATAATATGTGTTTTGGCCATCATAAAGAATATATAATACTATTTATGTTTTAAAAGAACACATAGGAAAATACATTAAGAAAACACAGTGAGAGAAAATGTTACAAATACTTATGATCCCAGCTTTAGAAGGAAATATACACAACTAGAAAAAATACTAAGGCCAAATATTAATAGCATATCAGCTATTAGTTAAATAGTAAGGCCAAAATATTAACAGCATATCAGCAGCTCTCTCTGAATGGTGGGGTTCTGGGAAATTTCATTTTTATATTTTAAACTGTTTTGAATTTCCTAAAATTCCTGTAACTTCTATAATCAGGAAACTGGAAAAATTAAAAAAACACGAAGATATGGTATTTTACAGATTCACTCATCTTTTGTACTCTATTTTCTCTCTTTCTTTCTTTCTTTCTTGATTTCTTTTTTTTTTTTTTTAGAGAGAAAGAGTGCTAGTGTGAGGCAAGAAGAAATGGAGAGGGAGAGAGAGAATGGAGCCCAAGGCAGGGCTTGATCTCCTGACCTGACCCTGAGATCACGACCTGAGCCAAAATCAAGAATCAGACACTTAATCTGATTGAGCCACCCAGGCACCCCTGAACTATATTTTCTTCTAAAACAAACTTTTAACAAAGAGGACAATCCTATGTTTTCTTGAGATAGTATTTGCCCCAAATACTGATGTCTACATAGTGTCCTAGGATCACATTGAGCATTCAGTAAAACCACATCATCATCCTCCCCTGAAAAAAAAAAATTTAAGTGTATATGTGCATGTGTGTGTATTTAAATATGTATATATATATATATATATATATATAGATAGATAGATATAGATATAGATATAGATATAGTTTTTGAGAGCTCTTTGCAGTCTGCAAACAGTGAGACTGCAAAGCCGGGAGTTTACATATTTAATGTTATAAGACTCCTGAGATACTTTTCTTTCTAAAATACTCAATTAAAAATGCTTCCTATTCAGTCCTATAATTTAAATATTGTTGATAAGTTCCCATAGAAATCCAAGTACATAAGTTAGCATATCTTAAAAACTAAGACACATTATCAAGGTAATACCTCGGAAAATATTTTTATTTGCATCTCTCAGTGGGTAAGAACAGGATGACTAGAAGGGCATGAGATGCAGAGAAGACAGGGGAAAGAGGAGTCTCTATTTCCAGAGAGTGATTTTGGGTATTTATACTCCCAAGAAGGTACGATTAAAGGACTCAGTTTATAAAAATCAAGCCAATAAAGACTTTTAAAAAGAGAGATGAAACTCCAGTTCCACTACCATTGTAACATATCTTCCAGGCAAATTAATAACACACAAGCACCCGTAGACATACCTGGCAGAGCAGTTATGAAATCCCTCTGCAACATAGGTTTAAGATACGAGTTTATGTGCCCATGTTGGTAATGACACATTTGGGATATAAGATGTTCCACAAATTCCACTTGATCGGACTCTGACCACTGCTCAAAATATTTGACACACAGTTCTTTTTCCTTCTCATAGCTTGCTGAGAGCTTTCGTTGCTTGGGCACAATCATACTGGAAGTGCCATTGGCAAGTTTTGTCTGTAGAAGAAGTGGATTAAAAAGAAACAAAAACAGTAAGTATTGAAAAGGAGGGAAATAGATACTTTTCTGATCTGGCATGCTTTGTTATGTCTGTATGTTGGAGCTCATGCTGTTACTCATTAGTAACTGGATATTTGTGAACAATTACACGGAAAGCCACACAAAGACCACGGTAAGTTGGTAAATCAGGAACAATGCTGGACAACTAGGCATCCATTTCTAAAAGTTCACAGGAAGATATTATTTGGAGATCTACAGAAGAAAGCTGAAAGCATGCTAAGTTATTATTACTAGCAAGCAAAAAAGCTAATTTGTTTTTTCTTGTATACACCAGTTACTGGGCATTTGTACAATTACAATTTATTTTTTAACAGTCAAATAAGAAACGTTCTGTGCAAAGAAAGGCTGATGAATAATTTGAGACTCTAGTACCTTTGGAGATAAAGCTTAACTGTAACATTTATATGCTCAATCTAACATTTTCCTTTTAAAAAAGAAATCAAAATTACATGCCACAAAATCTTTTTATTTATTAGTTCATTCAGTAAGTATCAACTGAGCACCTACAATGTGTCAAACACTGTCCTAAGTGCTAGGAATACAACACCGAACAAAAACAGCAATCTCTATCATCAGGCACTTATACTGCAGTGTGTACAGCATGATAAAACCATAAAGAAATAGAAAATATAAGGTGGATAGTGCTATTAAGAAAAATAAGGGAATAGGAAAAAACTACATGTTATTGTAGTAGGCAAAATTCTAAGATGGTTGACCCCAAGATTCTCGGTTCGTGGTGTACACGTATCTTCCCTCAGGTATTCAAACAAACACATAGGTACTGCTTTGATTTAATTAAGGTGCCAAATCGGCTGGCCTTAAGATGGGGAGATTACTGCAATGGGTCTGACCTATCAAATGAGCCCTTTAAAAGCAGAGAGTTCACTCTAATTGGTTGCAGAAGAAGAAGGGGGACCTCATGTAAAAGGATGTGGTCAGCCTCTGAGAGCTGACTGAGCATCCAGGTGACAGCCAGTAAGGAAATGGGGACCTCAAGCCTACAAAGGCAAGGTACTGTATTCTGACAACAATGATCTGAGAAGAGAATTTTCCCTCAGAGCCTCCAGATGTGAACTCAGCCTGGTCAGCATCTTCACCTCCGTCTTGTGATACTAGGAGCTGAGGAACCCGAGCCATGCTGTGCCAGAATTCTGACCTAGAAAACTGTGAGCTGATGAATGGGTGCCATTTTAACCTAATTTGTTACGTAGCAATTAAAAAAAAAAAAAACACACAAAAAACTAATATAGTTATTTAAGTCAGAGGGGTCAGAGATAGCTTTTCTAAAGAGATGACATTTAAACTGAGACATGAAAGGAAATGTGGGGACTAGACATTGTGTTACACGGGGGAAGAAACATCTAGGGCAAAGGGAATTTGAGGGCAAAGGTCCTGGGTGGCAGTCTCTCTGACATGTTCAAGGAATAGGTAAGAGGCCCAGTGTGGAGAGTATAGTTGGAGTAGTCCAAGCCAGATCATCCAGATCATTCATGTGGTGACAGCTAATCTCCAGTGATGGCTTGGGACAATTCCATCCCTGCCTGAACACGAATGCCATTCCTCCCGTGAAAAGGTAGAGTTTATCTTAGCTTTTGAATCTGGACTTTGGCTGACAGAATGGGGAGAAAGTGACATTCTAGGACTCCTAAGCCCACACAGCTTCTGCTTACTTTTTCTTAGAGCCTGGAGCCACCCTGTAAGAGATTTAGGCTACCCTCCTGGAGAGGGAAGTTGGGAAGATGGGAAGCTATGCAGAGAGAAAGGTCACATGGAGAATCACCTAGAAGCCTGAGAGTAACATGATCTGACACCTTCTAAAAGGATCATTACTGTGAGAAGAACAGACTATAGGGGACATAAATGGAAATAAGGAGACTAATTAAGAGACAACTTTACAGTAGTCCATGGAAAAGAACAATCTTTTGGACTTGAGTGGTAGCTGTAGAGGTGGTAAGAAATAATTGGGACTCAATGTGTATTTTGAAGGCAGAGCAAACTGGTTTTGCTGACAGACTGGGTATGAGGAAAAAAAAAAAAGGAGACAAGGATCATGTGCAAATTTGAAGGTGGAGACACTTGGAGAAGATTCAGAAATCAACAGAAACTTTTGCTACTCTGAAAAAAGTTGGCTTTCTTTAGAGGGTAATCACAAAGTGGTACAACTGGTACTTTTCAAAGTAATCTGATAGATCTTTGGCATATTTGTCTGAGGCAATCCCAATCTGGCAGGGAGGCCAATGTTACTATGGAGCTCATACCTGCTGGACATGCTGAATGTGCCATAAAGCTATCATATTTGTATAATCAACTTCTGCTATTTGAGGGATAGTCCGGCTTAATCTCTAAACATTAAACCCTTCATACAGGCTTCTTTACAAATGACTCCTGATAGAACTAAGAGTATATTTTCAAGAATGGTATTAGCCGTTTTGCTTACACAGAAAAAGCTAACACCTGTAAGAAACAAGCCCTGGTGTATGGAGCTGGATGTTTTCTAGCACAAGTGCCACTCTTGTCTATGATAGAGACTAAAAATGATTAATAAGAACCTTGTTGGACACAGGCCTTGGGGGATTTCAGAGCTGCCTTTTGTGTAGGTTATTTGTTTGCATTTCAGAAAAGGAAAACTTGTGAAATATGGAGTAAGATTTAGTGAGCTAATGAACGGGTGGGTGTACAAGCTTGACCAAATGCCACTTCTCACCTCAACAACCCAAACCTCCCACTCCATCATTTTTTATAAATTTGTCCTTTTGTCTTTTAAAAGGTAGAAATGGACTGGAGTTGGACGCTACCCAGGGTATTGTTTTCCAGAAATGCCAGAAACAGAGAACAATAATCAGCAATGGTAATGAAATGATTCTATTTATAACCTTCAACAAACCAGATGTTTCTATAATCACAGGGAGTCATGCTTGATCAGTAGTTATCAGACTAGTAACATAAAAATGCCTAAGGATTTCACAAGTTTGATTATTCCACTGCAGGAGCTAAAGTTCAGTCAGGACTTTCATATACATATACTTAAAAAAAAATTTTTTTTTTAAATTTATTTGAGAGAAAATGAGAGCGAGAGAGATCACAGAGAGAGAGGGAGAAAGAAGCAGGCTCCCCACTGAGCAGGGAGCCGGATGTGGGACTTGATCCCAGGACCCTTAGATCATGACCAGAGCCAAATATTGATGGCCAACCAACTGAACCACCCAGGCTCCCCAGGACTTTCTTATATTTCCAATGATCAAATCATAAATGGGACCTAAACCATTTGGCTATTAGAAATGAAGTATAAACTGAGAGTTCATGAATTTCCCAACAGTCTAGGCTATACCAGCGGACACTGTTTAGTTTTTAGTTACCACGCCCTAAACAGAGTATTTTCTTGTGAGGTAGAAAGACACACACCTCAGCCATCATCACTTTGAATGAGTTACTCTTAACTACTACACCACACGGCATTAAGAGCTTTGGTCCTACAATACAAAGTGTCAAATTCTAGCCCCTCAATTTACTAGCTGTGTGTCATGGCATAAACAACTTGATTTTTGCCCCCCTGAGTCTCTGCTTCCCTCAGCTGCCAAATTATAGGATATATTCCACTGGGTTTTTGTGAGGATCAAATAAAATAATCCAAGAAAACCATGCTTAGCTCACCACCTGGCACACAGGAAAACACTCAATAAACCAACACTCTTGATGAACTTCTGACACCGCTGGAGTTGGCCTTTCCTTCTCCTTTTGAAAACACATCCTTCTTTCTCACTGTGTAATATATATTTTTAAAATTTTCATTGCCGCAAATGTACACGGAACTGCATAATCTCAAGTGTATAGCTTGATGAATTTTCAGAATATAACTAGAGCCTAGATCAAGAAACAGATTACCATGAGCCTTATAACCCCTGCCTTGTGCTCCTTTTGTTGGGTCACTAGCCCCACCAAGGGTAAGCACTTTATTTAGTTCATTAAAAAATAAATAAATAAATAAATAAATAAATAAATATACTTTTTTAAACTGTCTACCTATACGATGTACAGCAGCATTTAAAAAATGTAATACTTAGGGATAAATTTAACAACATATGTGTTAATACCTGTAAAACTGAAAACAACAAAACAGTGCTGAGGGAAATTTTAAAAGACTTCAATAAATGAAGAGAGATACTATGTTCACAAATGGGACTGAATATGGTTAAGATGTTCATCTTTCCAATCGATCCATTGATAAGAGTCAATGTAGTAGCAATGAAATTCCAGCAAGCAAACAAGCAGATTCTAAAATTTGAATGGCAATGCAAAGGACCTAAACGTTAGCCAAGCGATCTTACAAAATAAAAACAAAGATGGAAGACTCAGACAACTGAATTTCAAGACTTAACAATAAAGCAATAGTAATCAAGATAGTGTGACTTTGCTATAAGGACAAACATGTAGATCGATGAAACAGAATACAGACTCCACAAAGAGACTTACATATGGCCAGCTCATTTTTGAGAAAGGTGCCAAGAAAATCCAATAAGGAAAATATAATCCTTTAAAAAGATGATGCTGAAACGTCTGGATACCCATACAGAAACAACAGACTTTGTTCTTTACTATCAACCATGTACAAAAATTAACTTAGGTGGATTCTGGATTTATGTGTAAGAGCTAAAACAGAATGTCTAGAAGCAAGCATAGAAGAAAATCTTGGTACTCTTGAGACAGGCAAGCATTTTATACACAGGGCACTAGAGCACAGACTTTTTTTTTTTTTAAGGAAAAAATAGATAAATGATAAATTAGCATGTGGCAAAATTTTAAACTTCTGATTTCTAAAAAAGAAAAAATTAAAATAAAAATACAAACCACAAACTGGGAGAAAACATTGCAATACTTATTTTTGACAAAGGACTTGTATCCAGTATATATAAAGAACTCTTAAAACTCGATAATAAGAA